AACAAACCAACTGTGCTAAGCAAGTGTGTTCTCCGCTCCAGAGCTGAGGTTTGACAGGAATACTCAGGTAGCATCAGGGAGTTGAATAATGTCCCAGAAACTGCTGGAAGTGCTTTGTTAAGGTGACACCTTTACCCGTTCCCCCAGGTGGGCAAAGGTTTATAAATTATAGAAATTATTAAAGGTGCAGATTTGTAAAAAGATTTTAACAGAAACTTAAAATATTAAGTCAAAAAGAGCCCATTTAGATCAAAACTGGCATCCAAGGCCCATTTTCCCCATATCCTCTGGCCCAACACATGCTTTGCTGCAGCAGTCTTTCTAGGAGCTCTTGAGTGGAGACCAAGGCAAGAAAACATCCGAAGGGAGAGCTCAGAAGACACCCAGATGAGAGCAGGAGGAAGGAGGACCTTGCTGCAGTAAGAAAACTACTGGCCAGCTCAGTTCAGGGGTACAGCCTGCTCATGACAGTGATGAGCAACACCAAGCTTCCCCCTCACAGCCCCAGCAATAACCCAGCACCACCACCAACTCCGCACCAGCCACAACACAGAGGGGTACACAACTCCACACACATTCACTGCTCCTGTGTTGCACTCATCTATCACTGCCCAGAACCCAAAGAAGGTCATATTTTGCTATCAGCAATTACAAAAAACGAATGAGAAAGTAATCAATACAGGGAAACTGATGAAGAAGGAAAAGGGTTACTCACCCTTCATCTACACTAATTTGCCAACTAATTTGCAAACACACCATATGCCTGTCACCTATAGCTGTAGCAGCCAACACAGGTAAAGCCAAAAGTGTCTTGACTTTGTTCTCAGCAAACGATGGTTTCTCATTCTATTTCAAATATTAAAAAAAAAAAATTTCTGGAATAAGTAAGTGCAAAGTTGTTCTGCCTCTGGCTAAGACTGAGGGTTTGGCAGCTGGAGCCAAAAGCTTTTTTATTTAACATATGCCTGTATAAATAACAATTAAGTTGGGGGCTATACCAATAAACCAAGCCCCAGCAATATTTATTTGTGAAAATACAACTGCTGCTACATATTTCAAAAAGTCAAAACTTTTTTTCCAGTAGTTTTCCTCCTACTTTCTTTTCTATTTCAATATTACTTAAAGATAATTCATATAAGCAATTAACAAGCCTAAGCACAAGTGACCCAAATGATACCCGATACCAGGTAGGGGAAAGGTTCTTCCTTTACTTCATAGAGCCTGATTTCTGTCTAGAAACTCTTGTTACAGTGTAGGAAGACAATACAGAGAAGTTGTAATAAAAATGAGAGGAGGACAATCTTCTAGCCAACAAATAATTAATTTTCTCCATGTCACAGGTCTGTGGTGGTACTCTGAATATGAGCTTCAGCAGCCTCCAATACTTCCACCTTGTTTCTCCCTTGGCCAGTCCTCTGCCTTGAGCCAATGCCAAAAAATAAACCTTTTCAGCCTACTTTCCTTTAATTATTTTTTGGCTGATGAGCCACCACAGCTCATCAAATGACAACCCCAGGCACAAAAAAGACACCAGCCAGCTAAGGAGCCAGGCTCAGGAACTGGCTCACCACATCAGGTTTCTTCTCTCTTGGGCCACTTCCCAGCCAAATGGCTGCTATTCGTTGGTATTTTCAGTTTTGCATACGAGTAACCCCATGACCAAGAGTACAGCTGTTGGAGAAACTTCATTCACATCCAACTCCAGAGAGCACAACCTTACTGAGGATCTCTAGTGGAGGCACTCAGATTGGTGGTCATTCGTGCTGCTATGGACAATAAGGTCAGCTCAATGTATTAATCCTCAAATATTTTCATGTTCCCACCACCTCATATATTGACTTGGGCCTTCACATTACTTCCACATCCCTTCAGACTTACAGACGAACAAAAAATACACAAAGACAAGGTTCACCTGTTAAAAACAAACAACTCAAACCCACAAAAACTCCTGGAATTGAGAAAAAAAATTAAGGGTATTTTCTGGTGGAGAATTTAAGGTAGTAGCACCAGCACTGAGACACATTACAAACTAGTAATTTACTATAAACACATTATTTTCTAGAGAGTAAAAATTAAGCACTCCAGACTGAAAATGGCAGGAGGTAAGCAATAAAAAAGTTACTTATGCACATTGGCTGTGGTCTTAAAAGAAGAGGTCTCAATCAAATGAGCAAACAACGATTCAGAATGGAAATGATCCAGCTTCCACTGACTTTCAGAGAAGAACAAACAGGCTGGTTATTTATATTCTGTCAGAACAGCAAAAAGACCCTGCTAACAGCTTGGGTTTTTTTTATTTTATTACAGGAAGCAGCTTTACATATTAAGACTGACGCATGACTCAAATCAGTCAGTTGCCAAGAAAAAGTTAACTGGGGGGTACAAAAAGAGTCAACATGGCACTATCTGTAAATTCACTTATCATAACAATGATATTTTAAAGACAAAGCCCAAAACACACATGCAGATTTTATCACATTTATAAGGATACTTTAAATCTGAAATATTTATGTTTTACAGACAGAATAAAAAGTCTCATTAACTTTATTATTACTGCTTCAAAGAAATGTGCTTTTAGTTGGAAAACACATTTTCAAAGGTCAGATATGCAATACTTCGTTCACACTCCCATGTCTACGCACAGCTATCAACCAAATACTTCTTTCTGTAGTTTTCCAGCTGTAAGTTAACCAATCTTTCATTTGTTAATTTACATTATGCATGAAGTTGCATTTCAAGAAAACCCAAAAGCTCCTCTGAATAAAATGTGACCAGCCACACTTGACCCACACATTCCTACAGGATGGTAAGAACACCACTGTAATACTGTACCTACTAGGAAGGGGTGGAGGCAGACAGTGAGAGAAGAAAGAACTTCATCAAGCATGACAAGAGACAGCTTTAGGGCTCACCAAAATTTGTAGCTGTCTCACTAGAGCATCATAACTCTCCAAGAAGAGGCACATGTGCCTCATACACAGCCCATGTGCACAGCCAGCCTAAAGCTGGCCTTGCTAAAAGAGAGGTAGCTGCAATATGCAGCCAAAACACAGCAACAGCAGAGCCAGTACCAACATCAGCACCAGGGCAAAGGGAACTCCTTAAAAATTACAGACTACATAGGGGTGTGGGGAAAAATCTTAACCTGTGCTATCTTGGGCTTTCAGGACAAACCTTTGCTCAGGGAAGTGTCCCAACTACAGTTTTGGTTGTGCAATAACAAAAGCAGCTCCCACTGGAATGAAGGACACCCCCAGGCATGTGAGATCTGCCAACAAAGCTGGGAAGGCACCATTCCCGCTCACACCACGGCAACCTTCAGCTTGCCAACCCAGGCAGCATTGCCAATTAATGCAGCTGAGACTGAGCCACCTCTTTTTGGAGGGACTGGGAATTCACAAAGAGGAGGAAGGCACCAAGTTAGAGACTTGTAGAGGATGACAAAGGACCTGGCACACAGGAGCAGTGGTGCTTGTGCAGGAGACAGACCAGCAGGCAGAAGCATGCAGTTGGAAAGGAAGGGACTGAAGGAGGTAGGAAGAGGGGCCACCATCAGTGGCAGCAAACCACTGGGTGATGTTTTGTGCAATTTCACTGTTAGTAACTTTGCTTCACAGAGCAACTTCAGGGTTTGCCTGAGGGCAACATCAGTGGTTGGGGAGCTCTTGCTCTCTGGTTCCTCCAGATTAAGCTAAGATCATGGGAAAGTCTATCTCCTCTGCTTCTAGTGCTGACCCATCTAAGGTTTTAAACATTTGTTTTCTCAGGAAACAAACCACAATTAAACACCACACAATATTCTTTGTTTTTCCTTTAGAGAGGCTTAGAGAGGCAAATAGCTGTCATTCACTCAATGTAGAGGCAATATATTAAATGCAAATATTTTATTTAAAAGACTACACAGCTTGAAACTTAAACCTCAGGGCTGTCCAATTTCACAGTCAACATTTAGACTGTATTGTTTATAATAAGAATGGCATGATCCCCACTTCAGCAGAACCAGAGCAGTTAAAGGTAACAGGAATGTTAAAAAGGCACAAATTTCATATCAGACTCTCAGTTGTTCATAGTCACTGCAAGTGACACCAGCTATTCTGTACAGAAGGACTCATACTTCAGGAGCCTTTAACAGGACTACTGATAGCAATAAAACAGACTGTTTAGACTTGAGGATGGGCATTTTTTGCAATCAAGCAGTTTTGGAAATTGAGGAAAACCCCACACACTATCCCTGTGTTCATAACTGGAATTCTTCTGGGGTCACAGACAGGATTTAAGAAAATTATGCATGGTTTAGACATATGGGATTGCATCAAGCATCCAGAAATTTCAAGAGATAAAGAGCTGGTAATGAGCAGCAGCCCCCATTAAACTATCTGACCCGGCTGGGCATACAAGTTTCCGTTTCCGTGCTTCCACAGTTCATCCATTGCTCTATATAAATAATATTCTCTTTGCTGAAAAATTCACATGACTGCACAGTCCGAACACGGTCCTGAGAGCTTCTCCTCCCTACAGAGAATTCAGCTGCCCCTCTGGCGTCCAGGAAAAAGGACTTGTGAAGTTATTTGCATAATCAATACTCCAGCAAGCGAGGATGTAAAGATCAAATCATTTATCTGGACAGTACTTTCACAGAGAAAGAAAAAGAACGTTCAGACGAGGGGTGCTGAAACTGAACCCTAACCCTATCCCCGCTCCCACCCGCGTCCCCTTTAAACAACTAATAGTTATTTAATCAGTAGCAGCACACGGGAATAAAGTCAGAGTAATCGGTCTCTCGCCTACGCTGCGGCCAAAAAAAGTGAGATCGGGCTCAGCCGCACACCGGGCGGGTCCCATCGGCCGTGCAGGGGGTGGCGGGGAGCCGAGGGTCGGGGTGATGGGGAGCCGAGCCAGGGGAGGCGGAGAGGGGGAGCTGACCCGAGGGTGGGGGTGATGGGGAGCCGAGCCGGGGCTGGGGGGCGCCGCCCCATCCCTGTCCCTGTCCCCGTCCCTACCTTGCGGCGGGAGGAGCTGCGCCGAGGCGGCCAGGAGGGCGGCCAGGAGCGCGGCCAGCGCCTGGCCCGCCACCATCTCCCCGCATGGACCCGGCGCCGAGGCGGGCGCGGGTCCCCTCCGGCACCGCCGTCGCCGCTTCCTGCTCCACCTCACACCTGGAGGGGCGGGCCGGGCTGGGGCAGGTGAAATCCCTCCTCTTCCTCCCGTGCGGCAGCGCTGTCTCGTCCCGGCCCCGGGCGCTGCCTCCGCCCCGGCCCCGGCGCAGCGGGGTGGAGCCGGCTGGGCGGGGGCGACAGGGGTGCGGGTCGTTGTCGGGGAGGTGTTATTCCTGCTGTGACACCTTGCTCTAAACGCTTTTCCCTGCCCGTTCTCGGCATCATTAACGCTTACCGACAGGCTTTCGACTTGTTGGTCACCAAGCTCCCTCGCCCCCTCGATGAGTGCCCGGATTGTTACCGATATTACCCAGTACAGCGCCCCTTGCCTGCCGAAGCATCTCTGAACTTCAGTACTTAAAGGCAGCTTAAAGATGGGGACAGACTTTTTAGTAGGGCTTGTAGCAATGGGACAAAGGGTAATGGCTTTAAACGACTAAGGAAGGTTCGGACTAGATACAAGAAACAGATAGGAGTGTGGTGAAACACTGTCACAGGCTGCCTAGAGAGGTGGTAGATAGCCCATTCCTGAGAACATCCACGGTCAGGTTGGTCGAGACTCAAAGCAACCTGATCTATTCAAAGATGTCCCTGCTCTTGGCAGGGGTGTTGAGCTAGATGACCTTAAAAAGGTCTCTTCCAATCCAAACTGTTCTATGTTTGGAAGTGCCACAGAAGTTGGTTCCTCCTAGTGAACAGCAGTTTGTGTCCTGTTTATTTAATATCTGGGGACTTTGCAAGGGAAAATTCTGAGTAGAAACCACCATGACACAGTCAGGAGTAGATGTTTGCCCAATGAGTAAATACCTTACTAACGTCAGACAGCTCATCTTCTACTAATCCCATGCAGTTGCTTTGGAGAATTTGTTTCTTTGGCAATACCATTACAAAACCCCAGTACATTTATACTAGCCCACAACAGCACGTGGTTATTGCAGAAATATACACGGGAATATTCATGTTCAAAGAAGGAGAAAAGTCAAAATAATATCAGAAGTTCAAGGGCTTTTACAGATTTGAGACCAAGCTTTGGAGAAGACTAAAGACTCTGCTTTTGCTGATTTGAGCTGGCAGTGAGGATACTCAGCACTCCTGGGAGATCTTTACATCTCTTTTATAAATAAATCTCCTGTACACTGTCTTCTGCACTGTACATCTTTTTACTCATCTTAACAAAGAATATGCAAAAAAATCAGTCTTTACAAAAGGACAGTATTAATGAGAAAGTAATTAATCGGTTATATGACTGCAGAAAAATGAATGGCTTTGAGTTTTACAGTTGTATGAGGAGGAACAGAAAGATTTTTAAGGACTCAAATCAGATCTGATGCCACTTCATTAGTCTAAGGAAATAGGTGAGAGCTAGAGTTTTTATTTTTTCCTACTGGAGAAATAGGAAGGCTTTTATTTTATGTTAATTGCATCTTATCAGATTTCGCATTGTCATAAAGTTCAGTACTTTCCCACGGAAAGTAAATCTTATGTCAAATTTATATTACCTTACAGTTCTTTTTTTTTTTCCTTGTCAAAACATGGGAAAAACATGTTAGACTTCCTAAAATGCATGTGGGTTCATGTCCATTATAATTCTTAACACTATTCTATGATTTGTCATTCTGATGTAGGAACACAGAACCAGAAATCACCCACTGTCTGGCTGCTATTATGTTCTCCACAGTCGTCCCTCTGGTTGCCAGAATTTCCAAACAAGAATACAATCATCTAATGTCTTTGTAAGCTCTATAAACATTTTCTGGTAAGGCTAATATCACCTCTGTGAGACAGCTAAATTCAGTTCCCTCTGATTTGGAGATTATGTGCTGAGAGACAGTCTGTGTGACTTTCCTGGTATGATAAAAGAGTCTCTCTCCATGGGGTTCAGAGGGCTGTGTAGTGACTGCCTGGCTACTTATGAGAGTCACTTCCTAGTAGATTTGGACATCTACTGTTGCATAAACAGCGTAGATAGCTGGATTAAGATATGAAAATATTTGGCATGGGAAAACATGCAGAAACAACCACTTGAAGTCAAAAAACTTTGACTGTCTGTACACATAATTTTATGGGGAAAAAATCGCCAACACGAAGTGATGGCACTTTCCATTGACTTCATTAAGGCTTGCACAGCTAATGTACTCCCTTACAGTGGCAGCAATCCTGGTTGCTGTTGCTGATCAGCTATAGTGAAGTAGTCAACCTCCATCAACACATTTTGTCTAGACATACCAGGATGCTATAGTGGGCGTGGCAGAGCTAAAGAGTTGTTGGATGTGTTGGTAGGTTGACCCTGGTTGAATGCCAGATGCCCACAAAAGCCACTCTGTCACTGCCCTCCTCAACTGGGCAGAGGAGAGAAAGTATAGTGAAAGACAAAATGGACTTGACTTGGGGAAATTAGTTTATTTAATTACCAATCAAATCAGAGTAGGATTATGAGAAATAAATCTTAAAAACACCTTCACCCCATTCCTCCCTTCTTCCCAGGCTCAACTTCACTCCCAGTTTTCTCTACCTTCTTCCCCCTTGAGTGGTGTAGAGGGATGGGGAGTTGGAGTTGCAGCACATGTTGTTTCTGCTGCTCCTTCCTCATCATGCTCTTCCTCTGCTTCAGCATGGGGTGCCTCCCATGTGAGACAGTTCTCCATAAACTTCTCCAACATGAATCCCTCTCACTGGCTGCAGTTCTTCATGAACTGCTCCAGCATGGGTCCCTTCCACAGGGTGCAGTCCTTCAGGAATAGACTGCTGCAGTGTGGTTCCCCTGCGGGATCAAAAGTCCTGCCAGCAAACCTGCTACAGTATGAGCTCCTCTCTCCATGGATCCACGGGTCCTGCCAGGAGCCTGCTCCAGCATGTGCTTCCTACAGGGTGTCTCCTTTAGGCACATCCACCTGCTCCAGCATGGGTCTCTCCATGGGCTGCAGGTGAATAATATGCTCCACCATGGACCTCCACAGGCTACAGGGGGGCTGCCTGCTTCACCATGATTTTCACCACAGGCTGCAGGGGAACTTCTGCTCTGAGGCCTGGAGCACCTCCTTCCCGTCTTTTCCACTGACCTGGGTGTCTGCAGAGCTGTTTCTTTCATATATTCTCACTCCTCTCTCTGCTGCTGTTCTGCAAGTTTTTCTTTCCCACTTCTTTTCTATAGTATTCTAGAGGTGCTACCATGCTACCACTGTCACTGAACATCTCAGCCTTGGCCAGCAGTGGGTCTATCTTGGAGCTGGCTGCCGTTGGCTTCTAGCAGCTTCTCAGAGAAGCCACCCCTGCTACCAAATCCTTGCCACACAAGTCCAAGTGTGGAGTACAGTTCAAATGGAGGTGTATCACTCTGCACGATGATATTCCAGCATCTAGGAGGTAAGAAAGCATGCTCTGAACGTGAATGCTGTTAAATAGGCACCCTGCTAAAATCGGACTTTTCTCCTCTGTCTACAGAGAGTGAGGACCAGAGGTGAAGAACTGTCACTCTGGTGACAAGAGTTGATCTGCTAAGCATAAAAATAATTTAATCTGATTTGTTTTGACTTCAATTACTTCAACTTTGTTTTGAAGATGAAGAAAAAAGAAAAACTTGAAGAGTGAGAGACCTTTCTCCTTTCACACATCTTTTAACCAAAATTTCCTTTGAAATAGTTATCAACTTTCATTTCGGTGTATTTTCTTGAGAAGGTGAATACTTCTGTGATATTGTCAGTTCATCCATGTGTCTATTTTGGCTGATGCAGCTGATGAACAATTCCCTGAGTCTGTCTTTTTATTGAAGACGAAGAATTTTTCTTTAAATCATTCCATCTTGATTTTTTTGTTTCTTAAAACATTTCTGGTTTTCCTCTCCTTTTGGTTATAGTTGTATATCCACAGCGATGGGAAGGATCTTGACTTAGTCCTAGTATAGGTTAAACGTGAAAGTGTTTGTAAGCAGACCTAACATCTCAGGCTGGAGGCGAGCAAGAGCAGCACGTATAATTTTACATTCCTCCTTCCTGCTCTACAGTCATTTCCTCAGAAAAGAACAAGAGTCAGCTGGGTCAGATTTGGGGGCCAGCCTTACTGGATGAACTTGAAGTGGTGTGTAAGTCTATGGACTGAAGCTCCCATGGGTTGAAAAATAATTGCATTTGCAGTCAGTGTGTGCCCACACGCTATGAAAGCTCCATCAAAAACATCTAATTTGGCTTTCAACTCTCATTAGCTTAATGCAAAGTGCCCTGGTCCAGCTGGAAATGATGTAGAAAATCCTCATTAACATTATTTGTCATTTTTATGGTATTATTCTTCTGCAAGACTTGAAGTGCTTTGTAGCAACCATTTCATGAGGGGCATGTATTGTATTTTACTAGTGAGTTTTACTGACTGACTGACCACAGTAGTGTCAACACACTTCTGAGGAGGGGCTAGGATTAATCATCATGGAAATGTGAATTCAACAGGGGAATCCAGGAAAGAGAAAAATATGGGTTAAAATATGTGCCAGTTTGTCAAAAACAATCCTCTCCCTTGTTTTTGGGAAATATTCCTTTCCTTTGCCCATGGGAATCACGTCCTTTGCCTGGAAATGCCCTATAAATTACACAGAGCAAGTTGCAAGAGAATACTGAGAAGTTATGAAGGGAAGCACATGAATTCTGAACTATAGTGGTTTTGAGGAACAAACCTCCCGCTTCAGCTTCCTTATCCCCCCACCCAGTGTGTGTAACATAGCTAAATGAACACACTGAAGACTAGGACAATGTTGTCCCTACCAATTGTTATCAATGAGAGATTCATTAAAGTAATAACCATAAAGGCACATGGGCACAAAACCTCATGGTCAGCCCAGGGAAAACTGCTGAGAAAATATCCAATAACCTCACAGTGACAGAGAGACACAGATGAATGTGCTCTTTGTCCTAATGGGAGAATGTTCACTTGAGTAATTTTTAGGTTGGTGGCTTCTACCATGCTCTGACTCTTAGCACCAAAACAAGCTCGGTGAATGAAATGATGGAACGTGTATTTAGTGCAAATGTCC